ATCCCCAGGAGGCTGGGAGTTCTAGTCCCGCCTTAAGCGGGAAAGCCGGCTGGGTGACTTTGGGCCAATCCCCAGGAGGCTGGGAGTTCTAGTCCCGCCTTAGGCATGAAAGCCGGCTGGGTGACTTTGGCATGGCTGTTTGGGGAATTCTGGGAGTCTTAAGTCCAGAAGTCTTAAAGTCGCCAAGTTTGGGGACCCTTCCTACAAGGCGTCGGGAGAGATGTTGCAACGTTCCTGGGGTTTCTAAACTCCAGTTCCCACCAGGTGCTACCAGCAAGGCATGCTGGGCGTTGTAGTTCAGCAATCCTCAAAAGGCACCCTCCCCCCAGCTGTTCCTCCTGCCTTCCTGGTGCCAATTCCAGCTTCCCCCCCCCCCTATTTTCTCCATCTTTTCTTCTCCCCCAGGGCTTTCAGGTGCTGTGCGACCTCCACAACGGCTTTTCGGGGGTCGGGTCCAAGGCAGTGGAGCTGCTGCAGGATGAATACACGGGAAAAGGCATCCTGACTTGTGGGCTGACGCCTGTGCTTCCGTCCAGGGTGAGTGGGACGCTGGAATGTCCATGCATCTTTGGACTTTTCTCCTGCCTTTTATTATTTTCACAAATAACTCAGGGTGGTAGTCGTACCTAATGCGCCTTCCTCCTCCTGGCTTGCCCACGACAACAACCCTGTGAGGTTGGTTGGGCTAAGAGGGAGGGACTGGCTGGCTCAAAGTCACCCAGCTGTCTTTCATGCCTAAGGCAGGACTAGAACTCCCAATCTCCTGTTGATTGGCGGCCCAAAGTAACCCGGTTGGCTTTCATATCTGAGGCGGGACTAGAACTCCCCGTCTCCTGGTGATTGGCCCAAAGTAACCCGGTTGGCTTTCATATCTGAGGCGGGACTAGAACTCCCCGTCTCCTAGTGATTGGCCCAAAGTCACCTGGCCGGCTTTCATGCATAAGGCGGGACTAGAACTCCCCGTCTCCTGGGGATTGGCCCAAAGTCACCCAGTGAGCTCTCAGGCCCGAGTTAGAACTAGAACTCAACATCTCCTAGTTTTGCAAGCCAGCACCTGCACCACTATACCAAACTGACTCCCTTCTCTTCTCATCCGTGTCCCCGAAGATGAGGAAGCGTATTTCCCAGGGCTCACTGAGGACTAGCAGCCATGCACAGGACAGAACGCAAAGTTTAGGAGGCTGGAAGCGGGACTCCTCCCATTGTTCCCTTATGTGTCTCGTTTTGTGTGTGTGTGTGTGTGTGTTTGCGGGGGCACAAAGCACCAGGAGTGGAATCAACCTCTGGAGGTTCATGCGCCGCCCCCGCAAAACGCGCCTTAGGGGACCTGACGGGCCTCTTCTCCCTTCCCGGCAGGTCCCCCCCCACCGGAACTTCTACCGGCTGATGAACACGGCTCTGGGCATCGTCCGTCTTTCCGGCCAGAGTTCCCTCTTCTGCCCTCTGTCGCTGAACGGAAGCCTGGGGCTCAGACCGGGCGGCCCCGTGGCCCTGCCGAACCTCCAGTACGAGGTGGGCGTCCGAAAAAAGCCACCTTGCCCCCCCCCGCCCCCCTTTGGAGCCGCCGAAGGAGGGTGGAGTGGGAGCTTTACAAATGTTTTTAATGATGCCTTTTCCTTTCTAACACGTCATGTTTTCAATGTTACATCGACATTCCGTCTTTTTCTTTTTCCTTCCCTCCCTTCCCTTCTCCCCTCCGCTTCCCTCTCTCCTCCTCCTCTCCCCACTCCTTCCCTCTCCTCCCTTTTCCTCTCCCCCTCTCTTCTCCACTTCCCTTTCCTTCTCCTCTCCTCCCCTCTCCTCCTTTTCCTTTCCTCCTCTCCTCTCTTCTCTCTCCTTCCCTCTTTCCTTCTCTCCTCTCCTCCCTTTTCCTCTCCCCCTTCTCCAATTCCCTCTCCTTCCCTCTTTCCTTCTCTCCTCCCTTTTCCTCTCCCCCTCTTCTCCAATTCCCTCTACTCTCCTCCCCTCCTTTTCTCCGCTTCCCTCTCTCCTTCTCCTCTCCCCTCTCCTTCTCCTTTTCCTTTCCTTCTCTCCCCTCTTCTCCACTTCCCTTTCTCTTCCTCTCCCCTCTCCTCCCTTTTCCTCTCCCCCTCTCTTCTCCAATTCCCTCTCCTTCCCTCTTTCCTTCTCTCCTCTCCTCCCTTTTCCTCCCCCCCTCTTCTTTTTTGTCACCCCTGACCCTGGTTTTCTCCCTACTCCCTGGGTGTATCATCATTCCTATTCTCCAACGGGACACCTCCATAGCCCAGAGTCATCCATCATATTCTCTCCAATTAGAATTTTGCAAGGCAGAAACTTCAGTCACCTAGTTACTATCTTTGAAAACATCGATGGAATGCAGTTTCGATTTGCAAGCTGCCGCACTGCTCCCCCCTCCCTTTCTATTGGCAGCTCCAAATATTTTATGAGTTAACATCTATACTTAAAACCGTCCCGAATAAACTTTGCTTAAAACATCTCCGTGAAAGAGCAGAACTTTTAATAATTTGTACAAATTCCCTCCAGCCGTCTCTGGATTATCACACGAGCGCCATTCTTGCCACCGCCCTGGACACGATGACCGTCCCCTACCGGCTCCAGAACTCGGACATCACCATGTCCAACCTGACCGAAACCCTGAATTTCTCTGGAAGGAAGGTACGGTTAGTCCTCGAACCCAAGGTTCATGTTGCGAAGTGAGCGACGTCGGGTTCAGTGAGTTTCGCCTCCGTTTTACGATCCTTCTCGCCCTCATTAAGTGAACCGTTCCGGTTGTTAAGTGAGCCGCCCAGTCATTAAGTGAATCTGGGCTTCCCTCATTTACTTTGCCGGGCGCCAGAAAGTCGCGAAAGGGGATCCCCGGGACGCAGTCGTAAATACGAGTCTGGTTGCAGAAGATGTCAATTTCAACCTTCCGGTTCGTCTGAACCAGTCCAAACTGGCTGAATCCCACCCATGGTTGTAACCTAGATAAATCTTGGTTTTTTAGGGAACCACCGTGGTCTCAAACTAACCACATCGGACTCCCCGAAAAGAGACATCCTCACACACACACACACACCAATTTCTCTTCCCCAGGTCGCAGAGGCCTCGGCCGCTCTGCCTTTCTCCGTGATGGAAGACCAGTCCCTTCCCGACGCGTTGTACAACCAACAACCTAGCGCGGCCTGGTGTCCGTTGTCGTCTTGCGGCGACCGAAGCGATGCCGGCTGCTTCGCGCAGTCGGTTGTGTTGCGAGGGATCGGCAAACGGCAACAAGTGAGGTGGGTCTGTTGGGTCTTTCGGTGGTTTGCCTCCCCACTCTTACAGGGTCTGTAGGTGCGTTGCTTGGACGTTTGTGTGTTTTTGTGCGTGTGTGTGTGTATGTGTATTTATATTTCTCTTGGCCAGAAAGTTGATTTTTCCCCCCTGCTTCCCACCTGGGAGAACAGCTTCCTCACTGCCGTTTCGAACCGCCAAACTGCTGACCTTTTCTGATCGACAAGCTCAGCGTCTTTAGCCCCTGAGCCACCGCAGTCCCTTATTTATAAATTGAGGGTAACTCCCTTCTTATTTCCCTTTCCAGCAACGCCCCTCCAGGAACCGAACCCAAGTCCATCCTTCACATGTGCGAGACCGGCCAGGAAGTGCTGGCCCGTTACTTACACACCGTCTCTCCTCGGACTCTGAGGTTGGTGCTCCAGGCAGCCTGGGCGAGAGGAAGAGGAGGAGGAGGGAGGGGATGATGATGTGGGGGGGCACGTTCCCCTTCAAAAAAATACCCGTCTTTTTTTTCCCCGACAGCACTTCTCTTTTGCTGCAAAGACCCTGCAAGCTTTTGGCTCCGTACCCCCAGTTTTTCTCGCCTTTCCTGAACAAGCACGGATTTCTGTCGGAGAAGCCATTGTACAGCCCAGCAAGTAAGGGGACACACACACACACACACACACACACACACACACACACGGGGTGTGGCTTAAGAGCAGTTGTTTGCGTACCAAATTGGTTTCACCAGGAGCAATGTTTTTAACCTTGGCAATTTTTAAAAAAAAGGTGGATTTCACCTCCCAGAATTCCTCAGCTGGCGTAATTTAAGAAGGGTGGACTTCAACTCCCAGAATCCCCCAGCCAGGATGCTTTTAAGAGGGGTGGACTTCAGGTCCCAGAATCCCCCAGCCAGGATGCCTTTAAGAGGGGTGGACTTCAACTCCCAGAATCCCCCAGCCAGGATGCTTTTAAGAGGGGTGGACTTCAGGTCCCAGAATCCCCCAGCCAGGATGCTTTAAGAGGGGTGGACTTCAACTCCCAGAATCCCCCAGCCAGGATGCTTTAAGAGGGATGGACTTCAACTCCCAGAATCCCCCAGCCAGGATGCTTTAAGAGGGGTGGACTTCAACTCCCAGAATTCCCCAGCCGGAATGCTTTAAGATATTTAGACTTCAATACCCAGAATCCCCCAGGCAGTCTCCTTTTTAAGAGGAGTTGGACCTCTCGCTGGTTGGGGAATTCTGGGTATTGAAGTCCAAGCATCTGCCAAGTTTGAGAAACACAAAAGCCTTTACAATGATGATCAACCAGGTTGGGGAAACAAAGGCACGGTCAATCGGCAGCACTGCATCCTGCAACAACCACGGCCTGTCACTAATTCAGCTCAACCTGGAAATCCCACCACTCAGCAATTTTTCTCTCCTCCGTAGAGGTCGAAAGCATCCCCGTCTTGGCGGCCTTCCGGTCCTCGGCAGCCTTATACCGGACCCTGGATGACTTTTACCGAGAGCTGCGCGGAACGGACTTGAGACGCTGGGCGAGTTTCTTCTCCGCTGGGGTGGAGATGGACGACTTCCAAGAGGTGCTGGAGGAGCTGCGGACGCTGTCCCTTTGCTACAAGAAAAGCAGCCTGGACGAAAATTCGGACGACGATACGGACTGAGCTGGTTTTTCGGAGATGCCACGGACCCTTCTCGCCGCACGTTTGAAACCAGAGAAATAAAAACTTGCCGAGAACGCCTCTCCTCCTTTGCGTGTTTTTGAGGGATGGAGGGAGATTTTGGTTTAAAAAGGGCGGATGAAGGAATACTCCCTTGGTCCTTTTAGTTGCCAGCAGAAAGGGAGTGGGAGGGAAAGCAGTGCATTCCTTAAATGCTTCAGATAATCGCTAGGCAGCCGAAGCTGTTGGCGCACAAGATTATTACTGGGAGAGCATGATTGATGACTCTTGGCTGTGGATGTCTCCCATTGGAGAATACACATCCAGGGGGTGGGGTGGTGGGAGAAGACCAGGGTCAAGGGGGAAATGAATGCTGTGTCTTAAGTCGGCTCCACCCAGGTAATGCCAACATGGTCACTCCTAATAAATCAATCGTTTTTACTCTTGAGAGATGCGGCTAGAGACTTATGATTTGAATGAGGGTGCATATTGGAGCCCTGACAACTCCACTTCAACGTTCCTGCTTTAATTCTTTTAAGATACCATCACTCAATAAATATTCGGCTCCCCCCCACCCATTAATTTATACATTTCTTACTTCAAAAAAAAAAAAAAAAAAAGATATATTTACAGATCCAAGAGAGACGGCGGGCTCCAAGCAGCCCACCTAGTGCAGGGGAATTAGAAAACCCCCCAATCTCCTGTGTCCTGTCTCAGGGAGGGGGTCAAACATACACCCCAAACCCCAAAAAGTTTTCTCGGCAGCCTTAAAACCCCGTTTCTTCCCGCTCGTCCTCCGAGAGGTTGGGGTCTTTGTCAGAAAGCTGGTCGGCGTGGCTGGAGCTCATCCCGTCTTCCTCGTCGTCCGAACTGACGTCGCAGGCCGTGTGGAAGAGGGTCATCAGCTCGCGGAAACGGTGAGCCACCTGAGTGGGGAAAGCAGCCGTTATGA